GGGGGTCACATGATACGGTAACCCAGACAGCGCGGGTCGCATGCGCACAGTCGGCCGCGACGCCCTCTTCCCGTCTTCACTCGCGCATCTCTTTCTCTCTCGTTGCTCAACGCCATTCCCACCGTGATGCACGCCCTCTCATGACCGCCAAAAACCACACGATCGACCTTCCTGAGATTCCATCCCTCCAGGTGCCAGAACCTTCCGACTGCGCCTCCTCGTCTTCTCTTCGGCCCTCCAGCATGGCTTCTCAGCCACTGCGCTATTCTTCGTACGCGTCGCAGGACACCTTCCTCTCCCCACCTCCAGACTCGAACGGGGTCTCCGCTGAGGAGAACCAGCTCGCCACGACCTCACATTCATTGTCTCCCAACTCCACGCTGAGGAAATCCATCTCCGTCGACTCTTTTGTCGGCTCCAAGCCTCCTCCTCAAGCCTCACGCGCTACTCGAGGCAACACGATGTCTTCGAACCTTGCTTATCCCCGTGAGGCCCGTCTGCGCCTTTCACAGTCGGGTCAAGCAGGGGATCCGATGCCTAGCACCTCCCGCATGCCCACAAAAGAGCGCGAAAGGCGCGGCGCTCCTCCGCCTTTCATACCGTCACAATCTAGAGGGACAAGTTCCGGTGCTACTACGGACGCGCGCGATCATTCCTACTTTCTTGATGAGTCCGACATGGAGCGCTCAGAAGACCTGTCCAGGCGCGCACGAAAAAGCAAGACAGCGTCCAATCAGGCCATACCTCCGCCGGGCGAACTGGGACTACCATCGCGATTGCAGACCATGAGCTCGTTCCCTAACATCAATGCGAATCACCCGCCTGCTCCGATCATCCCTGCAAGGAGCAGTAGCCTGAGCCACAAGATGGCAAAACAAAAGTCGCCCATGTCTCTTGATACCCATATACCCCCGGTATGTCCCTTCAGCGTCACTATCTAAGCTCTCATCTCACACGTCATTGTGCACAAGCCTCCACAATCACCTCAGATATCTATTGCTGTCATCGGCGCCGCGGGATGCGGCAAGTCAACTGTCATACGGAAAGGTCTGAAGGCGTACAAGCTGTCTGAATCTGCTACGTCCAGCTTCTCTGCTGGCCCCACGGCCACCGACGATGATGTCCAAATACCTTGTAAGCAGCTGCTTTCCTCCGCTGATGACCATCGAAGCTGATAGCTGCCATTAGACACCCGCTGGAATGGGAAGATCTCAGCCGGCCATAATTCTCCAGATTACCTGCTTCGAATACTCGAAGTCGACATCTCGGCGTTGGATCTGAGTCAGAGTGGCGCAAAATATTGGGAACGGCCTTCATTAAATGGGATCATTGTTTGTTATGATGCGGCACGCGAGGAGTCCTTTCAGCACGTTGCGGATGGCCTGCGTAAGTGCTCTCATTGAAAGGTGCACCCGAATGTGAGTCTAAAATGACTACGATTTGTCTAGGTGAATTTGCACACCTCAAACTTCCGACCATAGTACTTGCCTGCAAATCAGACCTGCCGTTGCATGTTGATCCCAAGCGCGCCGCGAGAGTGCTACAGCAATATGACGTAGGTCTCATCGAAGTTGCGACAACGAATCCTGCAGGTAAGGACAAAATACGGACAGCATTTGAGTGGATTTTCAAAGCGATATTTCGCGAGTTGCGTACGTGCTGTCTCACTTCAATGGGCCCTTTCCTGTGTTCAGTGCTATCGTTGTGCAGAGACCCCTGAAAACGCTCGCAGTGAACGCGATGAATACCGCAATCCCGCCTCGCCCTCCGTTCTCGTCTCCTCACCATCATGGGATGACTCACGCGCTTCATCTGCCACGCCCACGGCTGCATCCATCGCCCCGACGCAATCACAACCTACACAACCATCAACGCAGCCTGAACCAGCCAGCCAGCCACAAACATTGTCACAGTTTGTACTACCGCCTCCCTCACAGTCAATTCATTTATCGTCGCCTACATCTCCATCTACCCCGCGGACAGCAACTACTCCAACTTCACCAACCCGTGCACGATCAACGAGTGATTTGCTTTCCGTGCATGAGCAGTCAAGACGGCAGGAACGAGAACAACATTCGATCGGCAGGAATGGTGGTTCCCCAACGGTGAGAAGCAAGGGGTCTATGAACGCGTTACCAAGCAGTGGTGCGGGTGAGAATGCGAATGCACAGGATGAACCGACGACTACTTCGGCAGAGCCTTCATTGAAAGAGTCGTGAGTGGGATCTACCGCTCTTTCTGAACGCGTCCTGACACCTGTCGATGTTAGACGAGCTCCTTGGATGACATTGGATGAGCTATTGAACAAGCTGCTGTTTATGGCTGTCAGCGATGATGGTAGGAGCTTGTATCTGGAGTTGAGTGGATTACTATTCTCACTTGGGGTGACCACAGACCCCGTCTTTGTTTCCCACTTCCTCCTTACCTACCGTCGGTTCGCAAGTCCGCGGAGTATTCTTCTTGCAATGCAAAAGCGGATGCGTGCGCTGGATCAGCCATCAGGTGATCCTATGTTCGCTTGTTATGCGCAGTTGAGGTCAGCGCGTGTTGCGAACTCTTTCGGATTGATCCCTGTTTCATGTCATTCATAGGATATGTCTCCTCCTAGACAAGTGGATATCAACGTATCCTAACGACTTCGCGGTTCCTGGCGCAGCGGGTGCCCTTTCAGCTTTGGTGAAGTTTGTGCTGACCAAGACATATCTGTTGCATTACGGAGCCGGCCTTTTACCGTTTCTTGATACTGTGCCGAGCTTGAAAGATCGGGATCAGGGTTGGGCGATCAAGATAGAGGAGGAGAGTGACGCGTCTTCTTCCACTTCTGATGAAGAAGACTATTCCGCGCCAGAGGCGGAATTACTTCCTGCAGACAATGCCCAGTTTCCCGTCAACACTGAAAGCAACGATAGCGCGCCTACCTTTGTGCGACCGGTGACAGCACGAAATCGCAAGTCCAGTCTGCCGCTAACAGCCAAGGCGCTAGTCTCTGGATCTTCTATCCTCTCACCGTCTAATCATCAAGACAGTGCGGATCAGTCACCAAAACAGCAGCTGAAGCGATTGGTCCAAGTTAGCGAAGAGGTGCAACGCATTCCACACAAGGAAATTGCGGAACACATCACCCGAATTGAGACTGCATTCTTTCTCCAGATTGAGGTACGGCGGTAAATTCCCTACATCAGGTACAATTCAGTTGATTGTTGTGCTCCACAGCCTCGGCACTGGTTTCAACACGTTCTTGTCCAAGGAAGGAAGGATCCGGACTCAGACCCGATAGCCAAATTCAACTATATTTCGAATCACATTGCACTTTGGTATGTCCATATTCCTTGCGTCGCCCTTGACGCCATGACTATACGCTCGGTAAATGTAGGGTCGTATCGTTGATATTGTGTCACGATAAGCCGAAAGCTCGCGCGAAACAGATCGAGAAATTTGTGCAAGTTGCAGAGGAGCTCCGCGTCAAGCACAATTACTCGGCTTTGCGCGCTATCATCGCTGGCATACATAGTGCGACCTTCGACGGGGATGAGGCCTTGAACATCTTTCGGGCAAAGTCGCAGGAGCAGTGGAAACATTTCCAATCATACGATCATCTGCTTCAGGCGGCGCGCGCGCATCAGAAATATCGGATGGCCCTGAGGAACACCAAGGGTGCATGTATTCCAGCACTGTATGTGGATTCTCTCGTGTGGGTTAAGGCTGTCAAAACTCATTCATGTTGGCAGGGAGATTCATCTCTCCGACCTGATTCGTGCCCATGAGGGCAATCCTGACTATTTTCAAGATGATTCCAGCAAGATCCATTGGGCAAAGTTCAACATGATGGCAAGATTCATTGACGTTATCACGCAATGTCAGAATGGGTGTCGCCTCGCCCTAGGCGAGGATCATTTGTCGCACGAGCGGAGGATACCACCAGAATACCTGTTGTTGGACAAACCAGAATTGTTGATGGATCTCGATGTGAGGACTTCTGTTCCTTCTCGCAATGCGCTCGCATCCTGAAATATTTTCTGCAGATGCAATTATCTAGGATAGCCCCGCCAGATGCAGAAGGGCTCGAGGATGTTTTCAGGCCTGCAATACCACGGACTATTTCCCGAGAGATACAGCATCCATCCAAGGATGCCGCCATCCTACGCAAGATTTTCTTCTGGTGAACGACACCGGCTACCCGTTTGCTCATCACCAATCTGTCGCTCGCTTGCACGTTTGCTTTGATCGCGCCATATCTATTGTACGTACCTACATGGATTTGTACCCACAATTGTCGATATTGCTATGCTGGTTGTCTAACATCGCATTGGCGAGTTGTTTGACACTAGCTGGCTCAAAGGCGCTGACACTTTGGCTTCGTGAGACCGGTTGAATGCGCACTCTCTATCCGCTATACACGGTTCTGTTCGGGACATGTAAACCAAAGATGCAGCTGATGGACATGAACAATGAAAGGGCGAGTCAATCACTCTGCGAAGAATCGACATACAGAAACTACACATGATGACGAACCTCTTATGCTAGTCCCTAATGCAGGCAGGACCATTTTCACAGTCCGCAGAGCGCATTCAGAACCTCTGGCTTGCAGAGTTGGACGACGTCCCCTACTATTATTGCTGAGATATCTGGTTCGCTATACGGCCTTTTGTCTCATCGACAACGGTTTGTTCGGTCACAAATCCTGAAACAGCGAATACGCGGTCCACGAGTGAATGTCAAGTCCGGCAACGGCGGTGTGATTTAATGAGCCAGTCTAAAGTCTGCTGAGAGGACGACGTGGTTCAAGGTCACAGATGAGAGCGCTAACAGTGAGCATTGAGAGGACGGAATGTTATCGTCGGGGTCGTCATGAGCTGCCCGATACGGATTCGTTCGCAATTTCCTCTAGTCTGTTGTACGCAATTTCAGAGTTACATAAGCACTTCTTAATCTCCGAAACGCGTCGATTGGACCTTGGGATGACACGCTGGTGGCTGAGAAATGCGGTGGCTGAGGCTCATTGTAGCACATATCCATTGAATATGCTCTTCTTTCTCTGATAGCCAACTTGCACCTCTATTCTCGGTCTCATAAACATCACTACTACACAGTTTCAGATCTCACAGAGCTGTTGTACATATTCGTGGATTGGACTTGGACATTGCAGGCATGCCCGATGAGATCCGGGAGAAGCCAGCCACTGTCAGCGGCACGTCAACGGCGTCCTTCGGCTGCGTTCGGCATGTCTCGGCATTTCCAAAACGGGGTGACACGTGATCGGAAGCGCGTACTACGGGTCGAAGGGCACATTTTGAAGCAGACCTTAATATCACCTGTCGTCGCTTCCTCAGAAAAGGCGATTTTACAGGTCTGCCTAGGGGAGACAAAATTTCCTCGCTCATTACACCACGGAGATCGATAGTTGAACATAGAGGCCTCTCCACTCGAACAGTGCGAGCAAACCTCTCTAAAACAGTAGCCATCACTTTGCAGAGCGTAGTGAGAGTCCGGAGGGGTTACTATATGCAAGTCTTTGCCTTGAACGAAGTTCCTGGTCCAAGTGTAGCAATTGTAGGTATCGAATCTTAGGGCGCGGGGAAATAGAGAATGCTAATTAGCCAGGGCTATTTTACCTATATAAATTACAGGTAATTTACGGTTAAATAGGAAACGCCGGAGAGGGGATGTTCAGGATGTCCAGTCCGCTCAAGAAAATTCTCTCGGAGATCTAATTGATTTGTATTCAACCAGTGCAGAAAAAGCTCACAGAGATTCTTGATGACGAGTAGCCTGACTTGGGATCTCGTTGGTAGTGGCGTAGCATGAGGACGTTGTAATTTACCGTCATTTTAGGCTAATTTACCAGCTAATTAGCGTTAATTAGCTCGGAGTTTCGGGGGCTGCGCCCCCGGATCCCCCTTTCTAAATTAACCGTAAATTACATAGGTAAAATAGGCCTTTGCAGGGGTGCATTGCTACATTGCTAAATAGCCGGTTAAGCAGGCCACAATTCCTATTTTCCCCGCGCCCTAGACTATCGATGGGGACACTGTGACCTTAACCCTAGTAGTGCGCCACGTGCGCGCGCCAGGGCCCTTGCGCGACATCCTCAGCTAAGGAATCAACAACAGCCCTGCCCCTCCTGAGATCCTCAAGACTGAAGAAGTGAGTGCCTTCATCTGCTCGCTTAGTGTCTTGAGTGCTGGGAGAGAGATTCTGCATGGGTGCGCAGGAGAAGCATTGCGGAACACGATGGATGCAGTGATCTCAATCCGGATGACACTGCGAGCGTTTCACGAGATTTCCAAGTCGCTAATCTTCACTCCGCTCAGCCCACAACATGGGTGCCTACAAGTATATCGGTGAGCTGTACAAAAAGAAGCAATCGGATGTCCTCCGATTTCTTCTCCGTGTGCGGTGCGTACCTTTTACTCGCCTTGGGATTCTGCTTATTTTGTTGCGTCTCGCTGCAGGTGCTGGGAGTACCGTCAGTTGAATGTTATCCACCGCGCCTCCCGGCCTTCGCGTCCCGACAAGGCTCGCCGATTGGGCTACAAGGCTAAGCAGGGCTACGTGATTTACCGTGTGCGGGTCAGGAGGGGCAACCGCAAGAAGCATGTCCCCAAGGGTATGTTTGTCCAGAGTTTCTAGTGCCAGGTGGTTTTACATCGCACGCAGGCGCAACTTACGGCAAGCCCGTCCGCCAGGGTGTGAACCATCTCAAGCCCCAGCGTGGTTTGAGGAGTGTGGCCGAGGAGCGTGTCGGCAGGCGATGCGGCAACCTCCGTGTCTTGAACTCATACTGGATCAATCAGGATGGAGTTTATAAGTACTACGAGGTCATTCTCGTGGATCCTAGTCATAAGGCTGTATGTTTTTTAATTGTATCTTTTGGACATTCGCAATTGAACCTATTATCACAGATCCGTCGGGATGCCAGGATCAACTGGATCACGAAGCCCGTGCACAAGCGCCGCGAGGCTCGCGGTCTCACCAGTATTGGCAAGCAAGTACGCATCAGGATTATGCGTGGACTATGTCTTGATGCTGACCCGGCATGCACTTATAGAACCGTGGTTTGGGCAAAGGCCACCGTTACAACCACACTCCGGGCTGGTCTACCTGGAAGAAACACAACACGCTCAGCCTGCGTCGCTACCGGTGATATCCTGTTGTATTTCTGTTGTCATGTTCTTCGTCGTATCGCATCGCACGCCCATGTTCTCTCATGCTCGTTATGGATGTATGTCTCTGTGTCTGCCTCTCAAAGAGATATTGTCCCATCCACACTCTGCACGCGGTGGGCACGAACCTTCCTAAGTTGCCGTGCCGCACAACGTCCATAAAAATGTCTCCGAAAGAGCCCTGCGTGTTGTGGTGCTAGGCAAGGATGCTTGCGAGCGCGCGCCAAACTAGAAGCCGCAGCGAGAACAATGTTTGGTTGTGTCTCATCTCTTGAGCGACGACACTAACTCGGCAAAGTTTAGCGCCATGTCAGAGGTACAAGTTGTTGTTATGCATCCTCCATCGTGGCCATCCTCTGTATGAGGCGGCATATTCGGTTGCTGTTAGACTAGGACTTCCCCGGGTGGTACTTCTGGCGACTTCATAGCATCCGCCTGCCTCCCCTCTCTGATTGTTCCTCATTGATTCGTCCCACGGCGTCAGATGGCTGCCATCTCTGACGGGCTACAATAGTAGGTCCAACACATGTCTCGTTACGTGGTTTGACGCCGTTGCTCGGATCTTCTCCGTCGCATCCTCCGTCCTGCATATACCTTGGATTTGGTTCTTGACTTCGTGACTGTCTCGTCCTGTTTCTTCATGCTTCCCGTGCTATCCTTCTCACTCGCGTGTTTGTTTGTATCAACAGCTGTAAAACGTCTTGCACGCTGCTCTCCTACTGTATCTGCTATCTCACCGCACAAGTTGCTGTTGTTGCTTCATTTCTCCTCATTCACTTTAGTTCTCAGTCTAGACAAGCGAGCCACTGGCGTGCAAACTTGGCCGAATGGTAGTACATACGTATGGACGGTAGAGGATACATATGAGGGCGAAACCTTCTTTGAGTGAGTGATGGATAGTGATCCCCAAGGCCTAATTTGCATCGAACTCAAATCGTAGTCGGTTTGATTTCTATACCGGTGCAGATCCCACGAAGTGCGTTACTTGATCTCATCCTTCTCTGAGCAATCAATGTCTGACTCCGATCAGTGGTCTAGTGAAGTGGGTAGCTTCCCTCGATAAGCCGCAGAGGTTTCTAAATTACGATTACGGCTTACAATCGCCAGCTACACTGACCAGGAGACCGCTTTTGCTGATGGTCTCGCGTATGTTACCTCCGATGGTATAGTAGTCATGAGAGGTGATAACACTACCTGGCTGTCAGAAGGAGAAGAGCGGAAAAGGTAAGAGTCCTTCTCCCTCAAGGAAAAGTAAGGGAGGCATTGCTGAAATGCTATCAAGCGTCCGGGTATCAAGCCAGAAAGAATATAATACCGGTGAACCTTGCCGCGATGGAACCGAGAAATTGACAACTGAATTAGTGATCGCAGGCCTCTTCATTCTCGATCTTGACATGGCACCCTGGGGATGTGGTAGGAACCTGCTTGTTATCCATTACCTAAATCTATCATAGCTAACTGTCATCTGCAGCCGTATGGCCTGCATGGTGGACACTGGGAAGTGGTACATGGCCCTGGGTGAGCATTGCCAAACAGTGTACGAACTTATTGTGTCTGATTATTCGCAGACGGGAGAGATTGATATCATTGAAGGAGTGCACGACAATGAGCACAATCAAGTGACATGGCATACAGGCCCTAGTACGTGTTATATACTTGGCTTGCTCTACTGACCTAACACCCGGACACTCATTCCAGATTGCAACTTGACGGAAAGCGGGAATTTCACTGGAACTATTGTGGTACGTGGAACTTACTGTCTTCAATCGAGTATAGATTGAACGAATCTCGTGAAGACAACTAACAACGAGCCCAATCTCGACTGCGACTCCGTTGATGGCCTGAACGATAACTCAGGTTGTGGTGTTGTTGAATGGAGTAGAGCCTCATATGGCCCATACTTCGACGAGCAAGGAGGCGGCGTGTTCGCGATGAAGTGGGATGTATCCGGCATTGGTGTCTGTGCGTCGGATTGCTCTCCTTGACGATAACCCTCTCACACATCCCGTAGGGTCTTTCTATCGCGCTGCAATACCTCAGGACATCACGGACGGGCAACCGACTCCCTCCACTTGGGGTGAACCAGTGGCATTCCTTGATGCGAGCGGGTGCAATCCAATCACCAATTTCGTAAATCATTCTATAATCTTTGGTATGGCATGTGCCTGATTCGCTGATTGTCGATACTAATATCCATGAAATGTAGATATCACCTTCTGTGGTAGGCTGATCCAACACGCCTCAGGTGCAGAGCATCCCTGACATAGTCTCTGCGGTAATCTAGGCGATTGGGCCGGTAACGATTACAGCACATCAGGCTGTCCGGGAACATGCCCGGAACGCCTCATGGATCCCGCCAATTTCGTCGTACGTGACATTCTCTTCCATTCGACGTAAGTCAGTCTGACGAACTGCGGCAGAATGCATCATGGGAAATCCGGAGCTTGACCGTATACAAACAACAGTCTCTTCATGGCGAAATTGCTACCTCCGCCAGCACGCGTCATGGGCTGCAGCTCCTACCTCTGCTAATCATTGTATTCTGCATAGCGTGTTTCCTTGCTTGACCATATCGCTGGCGATGTATCTGCATCACTTATGAGCTTGTAGTGTACTCCACGGACATTCTATAATGCTACAACCTGGAACCGCTAAGCAGTGTTCCGGCATCTTGCTCGACCTGCGAATGCCCGAAGGTTCAGGAATCGGAAATGGCTACGACATTTATTCGCTAAATATGATAATCATCGACATTGCACTGTGCTGTGCACCGTCTGTCCTCCCATGAAAGATCTTTGTACAGAGATCGGCTCGTATTCTTACAATTTCAGCCTCCAAACCTTCTCCTCCGCATCAGCAGCAGACTGCACGTCCCAATCACCAGGAGGCTCTGCGAAACTGGCTCGTATGGCTGTTACACTCACCCAACCCTGAGAGATCGCCCAACCGTCCGACCCAACAGGCATACTCGACGTGGGAGAGTTTATGAGACCAGTCATGTCTGGTGCCCACCTAAACAACAGCTTTTCTACACCATTCGAGTTTGCCGTCTTATCCATCACGTTGGCCTTGCTGTCGCGACGATCCTCGCTGGGTGCATCAGGGCCAGCAGGAGAGATCGTGGCAATGGCAGCAGCGGCTGCTTCGTGCGACGTATGGGCTTTGAAAAGCCGTCCATACGAGTTGCGCCAGATGCGTGTCCAGCAGATCCTGAGGCCCTCTTCGCTGAGGAGTCCCTCGATCATGGGGATGTTGACATTGTAGAGGTCCACCTCGCCATTTCGCAGACCTCCTTCGTCTGCTCCCCAATTGTCCCAAAGATGTGATATGATTTTCGCCCCGAGGCGATGGGCAGGATCGTGGTACGACGCCGGCGTCGGGTGGTGTACGATGCCGTACGAGAGAGCAATAGAGCGGATTCGCGACAGACTCGATGACATCGCGGCTCCGATCGTTCCAGATGATAAAGTAAATGCAGCTTTCATCCACTCAATGAGTCTATGCAGCTCGTTCGGCGTACAATCTATTGCTCACCAGAGCTATTGCGGCCTAGGTTGGGGCCTGATATCTAGAATGGACTGAATGAAGACGTGATGCGAACGCAGAGACGGCGAAGAAGACGTACCAGAAGATCGATGTCCCCATGATACAGATTGTGAAGAGCAATGTTCGCGCAAGTGGCAGGAGTCTGACGAGGTCGTCATTCTTTGCTTTCGGGATGAGAGTGGGCAGCGAAACTTACCCCATCGAAAAGAATCCACTCTGCCACCTCGCCGTCTTGAAGAGGCCTTGAAGTGTCTGACACTTCACCCAAACCGTCTGCGAAAGGGTACCGGAAAGGGTGCTTCAGAAGACTGGGATTCCGTGAACACGAACAGCGATGAACATACCGGGATCTCGTGGATAGTAGTACCTCCCGGAGATTATGTCCTTGATTTGGTACGCCTTGCCTATACGTTTCAGGCATGGGCGAATTAGTCGCTGACAGAAGGACGTTATGATCGGCGACATACCGATCCATGACTTCTGAGAGCTAGGAATGACGACTCTCACATCCCAGCCTAGTCAGCAGGTGAACTCAAGCTTTTCCTAATGTATCCAGCGCGAATCGTACCCAAGTCTCTAGTCAAATGTCGGTATAGCCCGTAAATGTATGGCGAGTCAGGACCAGGAGGGCCGTCATCATTCTTGAGACGCGAGACAGTAAGACATCACAGCTATTTATAGCGAGGACTCCGATGTACTTGCAGTCAGAAGAACCCTCAATGGCGCTCCGGACATGTCGTAGAATGCAGGCTTAAGACGATAAAGTGCTGGTGCTGGTCAAGATGAAGAAGCGCCGGCCAAGAGAGGCAATGTACATAGAGTGCTACAATTACATCTGCCAGTTGACCGCTACAGAATCATGAAATGGGATGCACAATGGGGTGGGAACACCCTCCGATACACTCGACCCATACGCATCACATAGTGAGAGCGAGTTTCGCCATCTGCAATGCACCCTCTTTTGTTTTGTTTCCTGAAGATTACACGCTCATTCGAGTTCCTCAAAAATGGTTTCCATGAGAAAGACTGACCGCCAATAAAACCACTGGCATGGACAAAGATGCCACCCTCGATGCCGCTCATGCTTGATAGAACATCGTCCCGGAGTCCTCTCCATGCTTCCGGCAATGCTTTCCGGCTTTCAAAGCTATCAGGAGCGGTTGGGACAGCTTGCACGCGCCAATTCTTGCTAGTCTCATCCGGGTACAGGACATATATAGGCTGAGACTCTGACGAGATCTGCATTTCCGCTTCCAAGTCGAAGAGATGCTCCTGAAGCAGACAATTGTTGAGAAGAGAACTTGATGAGGCATGCTTACAGATGACATACTTTCCACGGCACGAACTGCTCGAAGACAGTAATCTTGCCGGAAGAATCGGCCTCCTGTTTCCGATTGAGAGCCTCTGCAACTAGTCTGCGAGCAGGTAGCCACGCATTGGCATAGTAGTCAAGTCTGGACAGGAACTCCTCTCCGACGAGCGAGGATGCCTCAAGGAATCGAGCCTATAACGTTGACAAGATGGTCCAGGTCAGCACAACAAAGGCAGGTGCATTGCTGCAACTGACATCGACCGCCTGCGCGTTGACAGGTTCGTTCCACGCTGGGTTCAGGAAACTGACCCGACTTGAGATGTCGGTCCTTACGCGATATCGTGGCTTGAGATCTGTTGGATACTGTGAGACGCCATTGTCATTGCCGTCAACGGCTTCGATGAACTCCTTGTACAGCTTGAGCCAGAGTGTTTCCACCCTCTCATCCTTCACCGTGGTCTGGAGTCTGTTAGCAATAACTTCCTTGCCGAAGTGTCTACAGCGATGAAACATGAGCCTATGCCTCCGCAACAACCTAGAGAGCAACTCACTTGTAGACAAGACCGGCTGAAGACAATTTGGTGTTGAAGCCATGGCCAAACACCTCCACGAACCCGCGTTGATGGTGATCGAATCGCTGTGTACTCTCGTCATAGACCCCACCGACGTCTACTACGATTGAGCACGTGTCGAGAATCGCTGTGTCTCTCGTGCGCGTGAGGTCTGGAGAACAAGCCCAGTGAGTAGACCACGCAAGATGTGCCGTATAGCGCTTCACCTGCATTGCCGTATGTTTTTGTCCTCTTGAGCAGGAACACCGCCAAGGCTTCATCACAGTGGAATGTGCCATTGTGGGTGCCTATAATCTGTGCACAGCGGTCAAACCTGCCTAGCAGTCCAGAAGAAGATCAGACCTGCCTTGCGCTCGTCGTTCATCTTGACTTTCTTTGCAGGAGGGTCGAGAGCACCTTCTAAGGATGACATGAAACGAATTCTATTGTGACGCCCGACCGCTTGAAAGGTGTATGCGGGTCTAAGTAACACACTTTTCCTCGTCTGCGGGAGAGTTTTATGAAAATAAGCGAGTTTGGCCCTGAGGACGTGCTGCAACGACTGTAACCTCTGCATCTGCCAATCAGCGTCACCCTAACAGCGACGAAATCGCAGGCGCCGGGACGAACAAGGGATTCGTCGGTCTTTGAACTCGGAGGGCATGCTAGTACGTATACCCGTCGAGTGAATGCCGTGATCAAGTAGTGATTACTACCACAAAAGTCATTATGCGAGCTATAATGTCTATAGAAAAGTTAACATGCTCTCCGATGTCCTCTGTCGTACGTATGCACAGGGCAAAGTCGTTAAAGGGTCTGTCCATAATGGTGCCATAGCGTCCAAATTTGCACTCAAGCCCTCGCGCCGATACATCCTCGTCATGTCCAAGTCACATCAAATCTAGGCCAAAACGTAGGCACTCCCTAGAACCATCCCCGCCACCACCACGATGAAAGGATGAGCGGGCATCCATGGCTGTAGGGCTATTGCAGCGGCGACATATGTCTCATTTGGGCCATAGATGCCGTTGGAGCCCGACTCGCCAGGACTTGGCGCGCCATTCGGAGCCTCATTGCCGCCACCGTAAATGCTCGATGGTGCCGTCGAGACGGGCAGACTCGATGTCGAAGTCGTGTGCTTTGTCGTGGATGCTTCGTTGATGACGCGAGTGCTCGTAATGACCTCGGTCGTCGACCAGCTCGTTACGCGAGGGAAGGAGCTCGTGAGCGTCTCTCCACCCGTAACAACAAGACCGCTATTGTAGGATGTCGTTTTGATGACTGTGGTGACTGTCGTCACAAATACGGTCGTTGAATACGAGGCGGCCTCCTCGGTAGATGATTGCTGTGATGATCCTGATTGAGAGGATGACTGCGAGCCCGAGGACTGCTGCTGAGAACTCGATGACTGTTGTTGCGAGCTCGAGGACTGCTGCTGCGAGCTCGAAGACTGCTGCTGCGAGCTCGACTACCGCAGACAGAGCAAGAACGGGGTTAGGCCGAATTGCGCATCGAAGAAGGAATTACGCACAGACTGCGCAAGTGCCAGGAGAGGAAGGAAGAGAACAGCGAACAGACAGCTGGCACGCATGATGGCAACGTAGAGAATGCAGATGGTATGGACTTTCGGACGCCGAGAAGAGAGTGGACGGCGAGCAGCGACTTTGCGGGAGCCCTGGGACTTTCCGCGACGGGCCTGAACGCCGTGGCAACAGAAGCAGTTCGGTCACGTGCACGCGCCTCAGCTTAATGAGCAGACCCCGCAAACCGGGGACCCGACTCCCCGCATCCCGAGCTGTTTGCGGGGTAACCGTAGACAGATATTTCCACAGCCTCTCTTAAAAAGCGCCTCCGTTCATGCTGCTCGTTGGACGACCGCCCACCTCACACTTCCACTCACTCCGCCAATCCTCCCTCCGCGATGCCTCCAACACCCATCTCTCCTAGCGCCGTGCACATCATTCTGCAGTACATCGCGCCGCCCTCTCAGCTCACCCAGTCAATTCCTCCACATCTATTATCCAAGTCGCTCCTGCGGAGACAACACTTCCTCCAGCTCTCACCAGACAATCCATTGGAGTATCTGTGCTGGCCTGGTTCCGCTGATCAACGTGAGCACACCGTAGAACTACTGGAAAACGTGCCTCGCAACGACGATCCGGTCGATTACCCGGTGCAGTACACCCAAGATGAGGAGCAAACCTTTGCTCACGTTGACCTGTCGTCCGGTCGCGACGAGGGAGTGAGGCTAGTTTTTGAGTGGGATGACGTTGACGGCTGGAAATATCATGATGCCTCCCTCATGCCTTTCCCTCCTGGTAGCCATTCTGTTCTCCTTGACAGTCTAGGGCCTCATCATGAACGCCAGTCTACGCTGCCAGCGAGTTCGCATGGGCAGGTCATGGAGGGCTACAGCAGTGACTTTGGAGATGATGACTATTGGAATGCATACGGATCGCAAGATGACGGTACCTCGCTCGAAGATCGCCACTTAAATGCGACTAAGGACGGAGAGGCAGGAACAGAAGATGCCTATTGGGCCCGCTATTCTTCAGTCCACGGTGAGTGTCCCACTTGCGCAAACGCGTTCAAAGTCTATTACAAGGTCCACTCCTAGCTATATGCATGCAGTCTATCTCCGCATCTGCATCTCGTTTTCAGAGCCAGCCCGTATGCAATGAATGATGAATGATATTGACCTACGTTGTCAGGCACAGCCGATTCCACTCAGCCGTCTCCTCCTCAACTCAAACGTAGGCTTCCGCGAGCGGGGTATGACCACGAGACGGGGCGACATTCCACTGATCCCATGCGCTTCTTAACGGGTGCGGATCCACACAGCATTCCTCTGTCTATCCCTTCTTCCGTCATCCCTCGTCCAAACCTTCATTCGAAGTGGGATCCGGCCTCTCCCCGCACTCTAGCCAGTCTTCTCGCGGCACTGCCGCCCCGCGCAAGTCTCTCACCAAAGCTGGCGCCTTCTTTTGACGAGGTGGACGACTTCGGATCAGACGTGCCATCGCCTACTGTCGGCGGTAGCACCGAGAGCCACGTGTCGGATACGGCTTTACTGCAGAACGAGTCAAATTCCCCAGTGCCCGTGCTCGATGTTGAGAACAAATGGATAGACATCGAGAACGATTTCGAGGGAGGGCGTCCTGTTAAGCAGAAGAATTGCGACAGTGACGAAGCGGGTATAGAAGTAGTGGCTTTGCGGGATGGTATCCGAGGACTGTGGGGATTCTGGCAGTCGAGCCACCCGGCACGTTCCTCTTCGGTCAGCAGGGCAAGATTCTTGGAGGTTGTTCGGGATGTCATCGGTGACGCGTAGTCGTTTTTCTTCACATAGCTCGGGTGCATCAGATGTGTGTCATGTATATGTATTTTTTGGGAAGAGATTATTCTCCAGCAGTGACTTCAAACAAATGATGCGAACAGTCCGAGTCCCACAATGATAATGTGAGAAACGCCACTCCCGGTCTCCGGGCGCCTGCCTCAGTATAAGAAGTTCGTCCCGATTGGACACGTCTTGCGTTCACCCACACTGTACGGATTGCAGGACACCCCTACTCTGCCGCGGCCTGGCGAAGGTCATGTCCGAGGATGATCTGACCACGACATCAAGGGCCGACTTAGAGACCTGGTGAGATGCTCTCGCGACTGTCCAACCCCTGTTGATCGTTGAACTCACGGAAGCATTCAGGGAGCGCCTTCTCGCTGATCAAACCGGTGAGTATGTACACGTTGCATACGCATGGGCGCATACCGACCACTTTGGAAGCCTTGTTCCACAAGACCGTCACGAGAAATGTTGCGCTCGAGACGCGTGTCGAGGAGCTCGAAAGAGAGCTTGCCGTTTGGAAGGCAGCACTAAAGACTGCCGACGAGGACAATAAGACGCTGAACAAGACTATCTATCGGCTGGAGCGTAGCATTGGTTCTCTAAGAGTGCGTTCGCAAAAAAACTACGTCGAACTGTTCATAATAAACATGTCTCTTAGGAGGACAATCCACTGATTCTATGCCTCATTGACGGAGATGGCAACATATTCTCGCCAGAGCTCCTGGCTATGGGTCAAGTGGGAGGCCGACAGGCTGCCATGCTCCTCACCAAAGGGATCACGGATTATCTGGATAGTATCGACTCGCCGGATGACGCCATGCTCGGACGCGCACAATTCTGGCTCACTATCTATTGTAATAAGAGCGGACTGCAAGAGGCTCTTACACAGAATGATGTGTGCACTGCTGAGCAATTCGAAGCGTTCTTTATTGGATTCAATCAAGCGACACCTTTGTTCTCGATGGTCGACGTCGGCAATGGCAAAGAGGCCGCAGACGCTAAGATTAAAGGTACGTGTAGCTGTGATCATGGAAAGACGGTTATTGTATGATGATCGCAGAATTCCTGCGAGTCTTCACGCGTTTCCCGCAAACATCAAGAGTGTTCTTCGGAGGTGAGCGGTTAATGTCTAGCTGAGTGTGGTGGGGCTGAAATGCTCCTCAGGCGCGCACGACAACGGTTACACATCGACTCTTAACTATCTGCATAATGAGGGCCTACTTGACAAAGTTATTCTCCTTAGAGGATATAAGGAGCTTGCATACGAAATCAAAGGGCTTGAGCTGCCATATATTGAGATAGAAGGCTTATTCCTCACGAAAAAGCTATTCTCCCAACATCATAAAAAAGCATCCGCACCAAATACGGCGGGGCAAACGGTGCAAATGCATGAGAGCGAGAAACAACGCAGCAAGTCAATCACTCCAAGTCGAGGGAACCCTAATGCTAGCCCACTCAGGAAACCCAGACAACTGGATTCCAATCAGGTAGCATGAAGTTGTCCTCCTCTGTGACGTCTTCTGACCTCGTTGTTTTAGCCGCTTCACAAACGTAGTACATTCTTCTCACCTTATCCCGTCCGTGCTGATCATCCTATCAGAGAGACCTCCGCCTTGTAACTTCTACTACCTAGCCGAATGTAAACAGGGACAGAACTGCCGCTTTGCACATGACTATGTCCTTCTACCTGATCAGCTTATGGAGCTGCGCGAGAATGCGCGCAAGTGGCCGTGCCCTTTCGTAAACAGAGGTGAGCATATTGCAGCATGCCGCTCAGTCCTACATCTTACTCGCGTAAAGGACAGCAATGCCACCTTGGTAACAATTGTGTTATGGGCCATTATTGCCCAAAGGGTGCTCGCTGTTCCTTTGCCAAGCAAGGAAAATGCAAATTCGTTGGCAGTGCGTATCCTCCCTCGTCAGTGTTCCTCGTAAGGTAACATGACATTCTCTGCAGAAGACGCCCATGGAAAATCGGAAGCAGACGACAAGAGATTTGAGAACAACACAATCCCAAGCAAAACCAGTCTATCCAGTCCCGCACGAACCATTTCTGAGCTCCTTTTACCGCCATCGTTCAGTCCAACAGCAGGAGCACCAATTCTGCCCAACACCGATGGCAGGTTGACGACGTCATTTCACGGTACGAGCGATGGGTGGTGGTGTGATACCGCATTAACTTCTGTGACTCTTTAGCCTTCCAATACATGGGCGGCGGTTATCTTGACACAGCCTCATTGAACAATCTGGAGAACTTCCCTGGCCAATATCCGCGCTGTCGAGAATAAGCTTGCATATTCGCCTGTGTGGTTCTGTCATCTAAATGTCTCGTACATGTATGTTATGTCATGGAACTGTTCCATCAATTGTGCAGGGCAAAGCTCGTGCACAATTGACTGATGTCGATGAGGCTGCAGTCAGCCATGAAACGAAGTGGCCAGGAGTCCGGGACAGGCCGGGACGTACCCGGCAACGCGGTCACGTGGTTTCCCTATGTTTAAATTCACTAAGCGACGCGTTCACGTCAAAACACCACCGGCACCAGCTTCATCGTGGCTGTTTGCTCACGGCGCAGGTGCTCAAGGTCTTCTGCTGCATCCTCTTGAGTGAGTATGGAAGACCTCGAAAAATGGGAACAGGATTGCGAAGAGACGTGGGCTCGCAACAAGGCAATGTTGGTGGCGCTCGGCGTCGCTGGCGATCTGCTGCGACCCCTCAAGAAAACTGCACAGAAACAAGCAGCACCTCGCAAACGGAAGGTGTCGGCGATTGAGAAGCACGAGGATGACAATGTGGATGCTTCGCCGACGAAGAGTGCACGGATCGAGAATACAGGCAGTGGAGAAGAAACTGTGTTGCGCAGGAGCGGTCGGAATCGAGGCAAGACGATCAACTACAACGGAGATAGCTTTGAACGTACCGGATCTCGCTTGGCGAGCGTCGAACCTGGTATCCGCAAGATGGAAGCTGAGCCGAGAAGCGCGAACAAGAGAGTGCACGATCCGTGAGCGAACTTCCTTTCCTCTATATTGGCTCGTTATGCTGACGTCTACTAGGAAAACATTTGGTGCTATACCACGCATCGCAGTCGGCACCTGGTGGGAGACGAGGTACATGATTGCCAGTCGCCATTCATTTCGGAGTATGTTGACCTATTGCTTAACCCCAAGGGAGGCTTGCAGCCTTGACGCTGTGCACGCGTGAGCTGAGATTCGATATTTGAGATGGCGTAAGCTGACATATCTCATGTTACCTACAGGCCCTGGGTTGCAGGGATTTCAGGAGGTTCTGAAGGAGCCTATTCCATCGCACTATCCGGTGGCTACGAAGACGACGTGGATCTTGGTGAAGGCTTGTAAGCATGAGCTTTTGTTGCCAGAGCCTCTCGTTACTGATACATGGCTTGTCAGTACTTTCACTGGCGCAGGCACGCTCTTTCTCCGCCTCTCGCTCGTAAGAGCTTCAATTTAGATAGTGATTTGCAGGAGGGCGAGACCTAAGAGGCACCACGACAGCACCTAAGAACGTGCGTCGCAGCCTTCTTCATCGCTTCTTGCTACGAATTGAATTCATGTTCATAGCTGCGGACCGCGCCGCAGAGTTGCGATCAATCGTTCGAGAATCGCCTGAACAAGGCTTTGCAAGTAAGCGTCCGCTCAGATTCAGCACAATAATCCTCATGTCTCATCTGGAGCAGATTTCTTGCCAAACGAAGAAGCCGGTGCGCGTGATCCGTGGATACAAACTGAACTCTCCTTACGCGCCGAGCGAGGGCTATCGTTATGACGGGCTTTACACGGTTGAGAAGGTCAGCACAGAGCCGGCCTATGCCCTTGATTGCTAACCAGTATCTGCCAGGCATGGATGGAGAAGGGCCTTAATCCCAAAGGATGGACGGTTTGCAAGTTCGCATTCAAAGTAAGTCGACTCACCTGGACTTACATGCCTCTCATTCATATATTATTCTAGCGGGTACCGGGTCAGCCTCCACTCCAACTCGCACCTCAAAATGCCGAAACCAATACGGACACGAAGGATGAAGTAGACGAGGTCGCTGACATCAAGCCTGAAAGCTCGGACGAAGTCACTCAGTGAACTTCCTGTTGGCCCTCACAAAAGATTATCTACGGCAGCCCATCCAATTGTTACAACGCGATCACACAAAAAGCGCTACTTACGAATCCATTGGAATCTATACTGAAGTGTTGCAATATCTGTCACATCTTTACCCATCTTATTTGTGCTCTCCCATTTGCTCTCCAGTGCTTGCTATACACATACCTTGCTGTTCTTAACGTTGGAAGGACTTATGGAAATGCTGATGTCTTTGCATCAAAATCCGCGAATAGATAAGCGTAACAAACAGGTCCCTGAACCGAACGTCAAGCCATCCAGCCAAGATACGTGCAGCGAAAGTCCGTCCATTATAGAGTCTACTAGATGTGAGGCGAAGGGGAGTGATGACTATACCTGAGAAGCAACCATGAAAGCCCTACTTGATCCTGTTGAGCTGGAATCCACAACACAATCAGTGTCAGTGCGGACACTGGTAGGAAATGGACAACGCACTTTCTGTGTGTTTCTGAACAGCCTATTGTCGAGAGAATCGGTCTTGTCCGTAATCCTGGATATCCGATCGTTCTGTTGATCCAGCTCCTGCCCCATAGCCGTTCCAAGCGCCTTCAAGCTCTTCGTTATGTTGGAGATTTCACCCAGGTTATCGTCCAGCTCATCCTCAAGCTCGTCATCCGACGCAGTTGAGTCGAATTGATACCTTTTTCTCTGCTCCTTCCTCGCATCGAGCTGCGCGGCAGTTTTGAAGCGGCTGTCTTCTTCTCCCGTGCGACCGTAGGTCGCAGCCCTACCCAAACGATCCTGCGTCTCTCGGATGTCCATCATCGCCTTCTCCCGCTCCTCGCGCTCCTCGTCATACCGCGCCTGGACCTTGCCCTCTTGTGCGGCTCGTTTCGCGTCCTTGTTGAATGTGATGACAGGACGGAAGATGGATCTGTTGAGCTGTTTGAGCTCATCTGTCTTGTCTTCTGCTCGCATGGAATAGCCCTTCGAAACGTCAAGATGACGCTCCGTGTTGGCCAATTTCTCTAAGTGAAGCATGAGGTACTGAACAGCATTCAATAGCATAGAGGAAATGACCTGACTGGCTACCCAGGCGGGTAACGGTGTTTCGTGCAGTCTCCTCTGCTTCTCGGGCCAGCCTGAGAGCATTACGAGTTGACGCCAAACTTTCCTGCTTCGTAGTTCGAATCTCCTGCTTAATGCCCTCTACGTCTTCTTCATTCTCCTCGCCCAAAGAGGGCTCATCTTCCGGAGTATGGCCGTCATTGAAGAACCTGCCGGAGCCCGATTTCTCTGGATTGTACCCAGAAAAGAGCTCGTTCCGGTCTTTGTCGAGATTGCCCTGACCACGGCTGTAGACGTCACCTATAGCATCCTTTTTCGCATATCTATCTTCATAAGTGCCGGAAGAGACATTGGACGGGGTGTGTGGAGTACTATAGGGATCGCCATCGCGACTGGGGATGTATGTGCTGGCATTGGAGCGAGAGTAGACGGGGGCAGGGTTCGGAGAGCGATTATCGCTGCTGCGAGACTTCATGAGCTCTTCACGAGCGGCTTGCTCAGAGACAACAGGTGGAATCATGTTCTTCTCCTTACGCTTGAAGAATGACATGGTGGTATCGACGGGAGCAAACTTGCAGGAGGTGAGATGGAAGTTGCAAGTGAAGTTGCACTGTATCGCCTTGGTTGCCTACCCTTTCCGGGTGATGCGCCCGTCCCACGTGGCTATATTCCGTTGTGCTGCTAGGAGACATGAAGCGCAGAAGAGAACAATAGCGCACAATGAAATATTATGGGCTGGCTACAGTACTGATAGGCCCTACCGTCACGACTTAACCCGACTTTCCTTGCCTCCTTTTCTTGTAACATCTTTCGCCTTCTTGCCCACCACTGTGATGCCCTTCCCACTCTTCACAACGCTCTTCAACGCTGCTTCCTTTTGTTTTTTGACGCTTCCCACTCTTTTCGACTGCGCAAACTTATCAACACTCTTCTCCAGTACATCGCGCGCCTGCTTCTTCGCTTTCTTCTGCTTGTTACGCAGCGCGCGCTTCTTAGTAGGAGTGAGCTCACTACGAGCGTGGAAATCGGTGGATGTCGGTGGAGCGAATACTTCCTCAGGTGCAAGCATGGAGGACGTCGACATGGTCGTTGGAAGTGCCGATTCCATGGAAGCCGCAGCGACATTCCCCACAGTAGATATAGTGGCTTTGGGCTACGCTCGTGCTGTTAGATTCGCCCGGCATACCAAGTCCGAAGAAGACGTACCGCTTTCGGGGTAAAGTGCGCATTACACAGAGCATCGAGCTTGCCTGCGATGCTTTCCCAAAGCTTCTCAACCTCCTGCTGCTCTTTTCTGAGTTTGCCATCTCTGTCTTCACCAGCAGCTGCTCCCGTTTGAGTGGCAGTGTACTCGTCTTCGTAGATCTCAGCGAGTGACTGCTTCGACTTGGTATCTTGTAACTCGAAGAAGCGGGAAGGAAGAAAGGGCTTGTCATCTGCTGGTCGCTTCCTGATCACGTCATTATACTGGCTCTCCAGAATCCTAGCTTTGATGCGCTCTTCGAGGCTGCGTACTGTGTCCTCTGTAATGACGGGGACAGACTTCATCACTCGTTCATATTCAAGATCCTCTTCCAAAAGTGAATTCTGCGGACGTGTCCGTGAGGTTGCCTCGCCCATGAGAGTCCAGGTCTTCTTTGCCACATTCTCAGCTTCCAATGCAGCAATCTCTTCTCTGAGGGCAGCCATCCGCTTCTCATATGTCGACATATCTAATAAGGCCTGTTAATCTGAAATTGGTTGAATTGCTTCGTACTCGGACGTACCTGGCTGCTGCTCCTCTTCTTCTTCAGCGAACAGATCGTCTTTGAATCGTTCCATCGTTTCTTGCCCATTTGTATCAGAGTCCTCGTCCAGAACACTTTCATCATTAGTACTTCCTTCCTCATCCCCTTCAGTATTTTCAGATCCCTGCATCGACCCTTCGAATCCCTTTCCCCAAGCCTCGACGTCGTAATCTACGTCTATGATGTCTTCTTCATTCTCACTCCCTTCGTCGTCCTCGTCCTCATCGTCCATTTCGTACAACATAGACGTCGGTAGGTTCTTGCCTTTCGCCTTGATATTCTTTACTCGTACTTCCTCGTGAAAGCGCACTCTACCCGTCTGCTGTTTGGCGCCATTTTTTGAAGGTGGAAGGCGAGGCGGAGGATCGAAGAAATCCTTGTACAGCGGTTCTGAGATCACAATGAGTGAATGAACAGCGGAGAGAGGCGCACAGCGTACCATTCGGCTCGCCACCCTGCCCATCAATATCAAGTTGATCATTAACTGGCGCAAACAGATCTAGAGGTTCATCGTCCTCGCCTTCATCTTCACTGTCGTCGCGGCCCAACCGTCCCTTCGAAGCCTCTTTAGCCTCTGCTTCTTCTGTCTCGCGATTGAATGTTGCCAGATTGAAGAAACCATCATCTAGTCCTGAGCGTCCAGCATACTTGCTTTGGCTCCTCGCACCCCCTGCCGAGTGGCTGCGTGGCGAAGGTTGGCCCAAACCGAATCCTTTCTCAAGGTTGTTCTCTTCATCCGAGGAGTCCCGCAACTCAACGATATTTTCGCCTAAATCCTCTTCTTCCTCGGCTTTCTCATCCCCACCATCTTCCTTGTCGGAGTCACTGGTAACTTCTCCTTCATCCTCACCATCGTCCTCGCTGTCCGACTTTATATCATCCAAGCCGTCCATATCGATGTCCTCGTCAATAGCGAGCGTTCGGCCACCTGGGACAGCTCTCGTAACGTCTTCCGTAACGTCTTCATCATCGCTCTTTACACCTCCAACCGCGCCTTCAAGGACATACCCCATGATGTCGCAGACGTTCTTCGTCCTTAGCTCTAACTGAGCCCAGATTTGGTCTTCGTGCATGTCATCAACAATGAGCTCGGAAAGGGGAGTTTCCTGTAACATCGGTACGTTCTGTGCAGAATGTGCACTGTCGTCTGTGTTTCGTTTACTGCTTGTGGCCGTCTGAGAGCGTGTCTGAGGAGCAAGGGAAGGAGAGAAGGACGAAAGCAGCTCGGCGATGTGCCCGCGAGACTGTGCCTCAGACTTGAGTGCTGCACAATGCCTAAGTCGCCTGGCTCATCTTCACATTCATTCCAGTAAGGACGACGTACCAAGGTCATACAAGAACTTTGTGGCTTTCAACGCAGCCAGCCGAATGTCATCGTTACCAGTTGCAAGCATTTCTTGACGCTGATCCACAAAAGCTGACAAGCTCTGTAACTCTGCAGGTATTTCCATGGTCTGCGTAGAGGACATGTTGACCGTAGCGGTTGAGACAGCGTCCAGGTCGCCGGAAGTGTGGCTGCGAACAACTCGCCAGTCCTAATTTTTGCTGAAAGAGGGTCTGTTTGGACGTGTTTGCCAACGCCCTCCTCCCACTACGCCTGTTAGATCGGTGATCGGTTTAGGATGATCTTGCATCTCAGATGCCGTGATTACTTTGTTGAGATCTACTCGTCAGCTGCTACCGAGAGCCCTGAGGTGTCCTTCAAGATGCGCTTGCTGAACTCCCCCATCACTGGTGCCTAGACGGTGTTACTTATCTGCACGATTTGCAAGACTTATTGTGTCGGGCCGCAGTCTTCGAGCGATGTCTGGATACTCAGGTTCACAATCGTTCACAGTGATATGTACGATAGTTGAGTGTCACTCCTCGAAGTGAACAACACGGCCAAGATAATGGGGACAGTCTTCCATAGAGAGACCACAGCTTCTCCAAAGTGCTTGTTACCTTGGATACCGCCACATTGATGCATTTGTAGTCCCGACTTCCGCTCTTGCAATACACCCCGTTTTTATAACAAGTTTGGCACACAAATGTCTACTGAAAAGAAGATGCAGGCTGTGCAGCTCGGGCGCAACGACGCTGCGCCTCCAATTGTACCTTGTCGGGACTCTCCCTAGTTCAGAACAACGAGGGTGCTGTCGGCATTGTCCGGACGACCTCGTTACCGTCCTTGCTGTGTCAGTTCCTTTGGGAAGACTTAAGCAATTGTGTTGTTTGCAATGTCAGAACTATTGATATGTGGCCATCGTCCTCCTGACCACAAATCAACATGCTTATAGCAACCGAAGGATATATAGGACCGCAGATGCTGAATCTCTATCCAACTGTCTTGACCCCGCTCTGGAAGCCATAGACCACGGCTGCGACGATATCATCACGACGAGCAAAGCCTACCACACTCTTTCGATATTTGGCTCACCAGCTGGCTCTACGTCCTGTGAGACGACGCTACCCTACCTTGTAAAGCTCTTTCAAAATGATCGCCGGGCTGTCGAGAGCAATTACCACACTCCTTGCACCGCTCCTTTCTCTGGCGGCTTTTTTGCTCATCCTCTTTGCATACCTCGCCCCAACGCTCATGCTGTCGATGCAAGTCTCACTACTCAAGGTTTCATCGTCGACAGCCTTGACGTCAAATTCGACCGTCTCGTCTGTAGATGGGCCCACGATCTTCCTAGGTGCCCTCGGTACGTCGTCTGCTCGTGTTCTACAGTGGCAGGTAGCTGAGGCAGCATACAGGCTCATGCTCTCGCGCTAACAACGAAGCGACAGTTAGCTGCACAGTCCCAAGCGTGTCACCAACATATAGTGAGCGATGGGCTGAAGCATTCAGCACCCGCTTACCAGAAACAACTCTTCAGATCTCTCTGTATTACCCTCCAATGCACCAGATATATTTGACACTCCGACAACAGCAACGCCCGCCTTCATCGCTGTGTCCCTTGCCTTCACAGTGGTATTCCTCTTTATGTATACCTTTACCGCACACCATGCGATTCTGGGACGAGCCGGCGTACCATTCGAGCGTCCACAGGTTCAACGCGCGACGGCTTGGATCGGCTTATTGGGATTCATTATCGGTAGGTTACAAGCTGCCCTCGCTGGACCTCCTGACGAGTTCGTTCAGGCATCACATCGTTCTTGATTATCTTCATGTGGTTCACAAAGTCAGTCGATGACTTCAACGAAGATATCAAGAAGCTTGGTAGTGACGCCCCCAATTTGATTGCGACTACGAGCAACGGCTTTGTCAGTAAGTATTGCCTGATCATCTCCTTTCCGGAACAAGGTCCTCATTTGTCAACACTCAGTGGCATGGATAGGCTACGCCTTCTATGCTGTTCCCCTTGCCAGTTCTCTGGCCAAGTTACAGGTCACGGTTGGTGGAAAGGCCTAGGCACCAGAAGAGAGAACGGACCTCTTACAAGTCGCATTAGCACCGGACTTCTTACCCCCTAAACTGCACGCGCCCGTCTGCTCATGATTCCAATGTAGTTAGTACCGGTGACCCTCCGAGCTGTTATGTATTCTAGATACACATTCACGACTAATGAGAGCCATATGATTGTCTAACAATGCTTTCAGAAATTGCACGCACGCAGCGACCTAGCAGCCCATGAGAGTTGCAGAATAAGACCTCGATCGTCCACCTGGATCAACGGCACCTTGCAGGCCTTCGGTTTGTCGCTCCAGCTATCTGACGGGTGGTCGACACACGCTCAAAGACAGTTGATGCAGAAAGCAGCGCGAACAGTCGTAAGTGCAATTAACCGAACTACACGATAAAAGCGAACTAGATGATACACAATCAAAACGCAGCTGGCTGGTCATAGCCTCCCGCATACGGATCCGGCGCCTGCTGGTACGTCGCCTGCTCCTCCACAGCAGGAGCGGGAGCGGGAGCTGGGACGATGGCAGGCTCCCGTTGCTCCGAAGTGGGCTCAGCAACGATTTTGTCCACCGGAGGATCATGAATCTTCACGAAGTCGGGGAGAGGGTCAACGGGACCAAGCAAGCCTGCGGGATCACTGCCCTTCATACTGTTCAAAAAATTAGCATACACACCAAATTGTAACATGACTGAACACTCACATTTTGACCTTAATACCGAGCACACCTTGCCTAAGCATGACGTGCCTGACAGCGTAATCCACGAAGTCCACGGCGGGCTGACCCGAGTGGATCATGAAACCGTCCGTGAACTTCATCGACTTTGCACGGGCGGCGCGAAGCTTGCCAGAAACGACAACCTCGCAACCTTTCGCACCAGACTCCATCACGAAGCGGAGGACACCGTAGCACGCTCTTCCGTGACAATTGAGCAGACACCGGTATGAAGGCCACAAGAAACGTACCTTCTGACTGCGAGACCACCCAGAAGCTTGTACCTCAAACTCTCGCACTGAGCAATAGCGGAAAGGCCTCGTTGCTGAACCTTCTCAGCGTACAGCTCGAGTGAGTTTTCGGGGAACTTGAAGCGTTTTTGCACCAAGGCGGTAAGTTCACGAATACGACGACCCTTCTCGCCCAGTACTTCCTGGGTGTGGGTCGCACGGATGATAATCTGGGAGAAGAGTGCTACCTCAGCCTGTTGGAATCATTTCAACTGCACGCGTGAACGCACCTCCGTGCGGGCATGCGTCACTCGGACATCACAGCCAGAGTAACCCTCCTCCGACAGCTCGCGAGTAAAGAAATCGTTGAGCTCCGCACGGAAGACGCCGTCTGCAACGAACTTTCTCTTCTTGCTGATTTGAGCAGACATATTGCAGTGACAGAGGTGCTACGAAGTAGAGTAAGATGCACGTCAGCTTTTGAGTCCGTTTGGGTATCATCCGTCCCGAAATATGCGCATCCAGCCATTCTTGCAGCAAATCACACCGGATAGCGAGCAAGCACGACACTTGGAGCACATGTGAACAGCAATACACGAACCTTGAGGGATACTGGGCGTCGATAGGTTTGACGACGGCTTGCGGAATGAATGCCTCCCTTGCCTGGGCGATCGGATCTGAGTGACTGTGACACATGACAATGTCACTTCTGTGACGTGTTGTGGCCCAATTGTGCTACTCTGACGGTAGCTGACGGTGTCAGCAACGACTCGAAGTACCGATCCTTGTTGAAGAAAAGGTGTTGGAATAACTCAGCCTTTCCAATCAAGTAAATGATTTTGGGAAAAGGCTTGTGCCCTTTATTGACTCGGAAAATGTCGTAGGGGCCCAAAGTCAAAGAAAATCTCCGTAGTTTCTCACCGTAGTTATGATTGCTTTCGAGTCCTTGTAGTGATATGTTATCGAGAGTAGCAATCATATTTCGTACAAAAGCGTTCAATCCACTTCTGTGCACCGTATTTATCGTACTAATTGCAGCCACCGGTGTGGTTTCTCATTCGAAGCATTTGATATGGTACGTACGGATCGGCTGATTCAAGTATACACATCGATAGACATCGATCCTCATTTCAAGCGTTGGCCTCGTTGACGAAGATCCCAGCCCCGCCCATACCGCTCCCTATGCACATACTAGTGCAGAGAATCTTGCCGCCTTGGCGCCTGAGTTGCGCAAGGCCAGTCACAACCTGGCGTGCCCCAGCTGCATGAGGATCGTTGCATCAGACAAATCGAGGTGAATGGCACTGGATGCAAGGAAGTCACGCACTCATGCCGAGAGGGTGCGTCAATGCGATGGATCCTCCGCTATAATGGATTACACTTAGCATTACAAGAAGAAATGGATGTAAATGATCCATACTTAGGATTGATCTTATCCATCGGAATTTGTAGCTTCTCTACGCAGTAAGCAAACTGCGACGCGAATGCTTCATTGATCTGGGGAGAGATAAGGCTAATTCGCGGCAATTTCGAAGTGCAAATTTCACCTCATACACGTCGACGTCATCTTGAGTTAAGCCGGTTTGTGCGAGGACCTTCGGAACAGCTACGATGGGTGCTATTCCCATGTACCTTGGCTCTACCCCTGCTCACAGATTCACAGATGAGGAAACTTCCAAACGCGGAACGGAGCTACACTGACCAATGAATGTGCTAGCAACATATTTGCCGACGATGTGAAAGCCTTCCCTCTCAGCATGCTTCCGCGTAGTCAAGATGCATAAAGCTGCACCATCACCTAGACCACTTGAGTTCCCCGCCGTGCTCGAGGCTTCTCCCCATTCTGGCCATGAGGGACAGAGCTTGGACAGACCCTCGAGTGTGGTTCCCCTGCGGATTGTATCGTCTACCGAGATTACCGTTCCACGCAATTCAATCGGAACTATCTCCTCCGCAAAGAAGCCTGAGTCAGATGCCTATGAATCATAAGCTCATCGCACAGCAATTTGGCGTGATAAATTTACCTGTTCTGCCCTTGAATGGGATATTAGAGCATACTGATCCTGCTTTTCTCGCGAGATCTTGTACGCCTGCGCCACCACCTCGGATGTCCATCCCATTGGCTGTAGATAAGCCTTTTGAAAGCCGTTCTCCACCAACCAATTCTTATGACACTCACTTGCACACAATCGTAGGCTTGTGTGTTAGCACCGACCGAGTCCACAATCTGCGGTGTGGGTCTAGGGCTGGAAAATGCATTCGCGTCCAGTGCCTTTTCAATCAGTAACCGAAGGGACGTACTGCAGTGACATACTCTCCACACCGATTGCCATGCCCACGGAGATATGCCCAGCCTGGATTGCATTGGAGATAATCCTAATTGCCTGAAGCCCAGAGCCGCATAGTCGATTCACAGCGAATACGGGTACTTCCGCAGGAATACCAGCCGCAATTGCCGCTGCTCGCGAAATGTACGTGGGGGATGGCGGATGGCACGTTCCTGCATTCGGTATCAGACAACTTCAGTAACGTTCTGGCGCTCACCAGTTCCGGAGAGGAAGAGACACACCTACACAGATATCCTCAACCTTTGCAGGATCTAGCTTGCTCTTCTGAAGAGATACCTGAAGAACCACAAGTGGAACGTCACGGACCGCTACAAGCGATGGAACCAGTTCGCCGAATTGTTACTTACCTTGATTAAGGCCTGCATCAGTTCATCTACTGGGATGTCCTTCAACTGGCCCTTCTCTGAGCGACCGAGCGCGGTACGCTTCGCAAACGTAATGACCACGTCGTCAAGTTTCTTTTCCAATATGGAGGAAGCACCCCTCGCTTGTGTAGCCATCGAGCGCACCCAAAGGCGCGTGCCTCGTCTCAGCAGTCCGTAGAACATGATCGTACTCGAAGGCGCATGCGGGGCGGAGACTGTTGGCACGACGCTTATACATGACCATCATATCCGGAAATGGTGGCATGCTCCCCACACAGAGGTCATATGAGCAGACGGGACGGGATGATTTTTGACGAAGAAGTGCAGGTTCGGGCATCAGCTGATCTGCTAGCAGATCACTCATAATCCTCGAGTTGAACAGATGAACCGCGTCCATCGGTCAGACCGACGATACAATGTTCTCTGCTAACGCAGACTGCTCGCTGCTGGCATCACATAAGACATGCAGTAAAAACGGTCGGGTAGCCGTCGGAAGACATGCAAGCGAATTAGGAGCTACAGACAGTATCTCGCCACACATGCGCAGACTTTCCAAAGTGAATCGATAGCAATTGCCGAAGCAGTGGTAGGGTGGGCAGAGGACCCGCTGTGACCAACGGTGCATACGGTCGTCGGTCGGCATGACTGACAGCGGCCTACGCAAGCCCTATCACAACGTGCCCTCTATAGATTCTATAAGAGCGTACCTTTTACGCAACGGTTGAATCAGACGCCCCTTCGCCTTCTGAAACATCTCCGGATTGCCTAGTCTTAACTTTCCATGCTCTGTTCATACTTGAGTAGCAATTGGGGCACAGATGATGCGCCAGTTTGGGAGAACCGCAGCCGGGGCAATGGACGAGATCTATAATTCATAAGATACACCTTGGGTGAATCATGGCATGAAGCAGTTTCATACGCACTGTTCTTATCTTTTAAACCCTTGTTGGCACTGCGCATGGATTTTCTTGAATGTGAAACCTTCTTCTTCGGCACAGCGAGAAGGAATGGAGGAAGTAGCTCAAGCAGAGATTGAAGACTCGGTAGTGCCCATCTCAAGGGTGAAGGAGAGGACAGGGCAGGTGCCGCAAAGCTTGCGGCGGAAACAGTGAAGGCATATCTGAGCGTCGTGAAAAACGGCCGTGTTTGTTGTACTGCAATGGCCGCCATAGTGGTTGGTTGCACGTTCAAGAGCGAGCGCGACGGCCCGATCACCCCACGAGCACTTTCCGATTGCCTTTTGCGTAGAGCCCACATTCCGGCGCGCTCACGACGACCATCGTTCTCTCACCGTGCCATGTTTCGCCTCACCCGTCCTCTTCTCAATCAAATCCGCAAAACCACTGGCATTACCGGCCTTAATGTGCATCATGATCCCCTCCCCGAATTGTTGAAAACCTACCAATCCACACTCTCCATGCTCTCCTCTATCCCGGAGACCTCCGTCTATCGCCAAGGCGTTGAAGCCTTGACTCAACGCAAGCTGAAGATTGCGGAGAACGCGAACGGAAAGATTTCGGAGGCGGAGAAGCAGTTGGACGAGGGACATATTGAGCAGTCCCTCGATATTGCCACGGATGAGATGAACCTGGTTTCCAAGATGATCGAGTGGAAAGCGTACGCCCATTACATGTCCCCCATCGCAAAAAAGCTGAAGGCTTTCCTGTAGCTGGGAACCATTGGTCGAGCAGCCTGAGCCGGGACAATGGCAATATTTCGGAAAGGTCGCGACCGCATCGTGAGCCTGAGTTGTCTTAATACAATGCATTTCTTGCGGTGGCCCAATGTGTCGCGAATGTTGTCCTACGCAGATCACAGTTTGGGAGTTGCAATTAATGATACAGTTCGTAGCTGTATCCCTACTCCACAGGTATATCCAAATTCTGCTTGTAGGCGTCAGCGCCTCTGGCTCTTCCCACTGGAATCACAACATACATGCTCCTTCTGGTTTGGTAATCCTCTATTTGAGTGTCAACTCGAGATGTTGCAGACCTTAGGACAGCCGACACAATGAGAATTCCAAACACTGGTTCATCTGTTGCGATTGAGCACGATCTATGTACTCTGTTCCCTGACTCTTTGCAATGGCATATTCAACCAACTTCACTGATGTCCATAATATAGTTGCTTGACAGAATTATGCCCAACTTATTTCGCTGCAGTGAAAAGGAAAAGGGAACATACAACACTTCTTCAGTTGTGTTTCCTGAATTCATTGATGAGTGGCAAAGACGATTGCCTAACTAACAACAAGGATCTTGATCATGAAGTGCATTGTCAGCCTTCCGGTCAGATGTAATGACAACTATCTTGGCCACTGTGCACCTGAGCATGTAATCACAGCTCATTGACTGGATGAACCATTTGACATTGTTGAGCATTCCCAATTGAGCAATCTGGATGTCATTCAAAGATCTGAAAACTGCTTAACTAGGACATGACACGACAGACATGATGCGATTTATCAGTGTGAAAAATAGTGTGGGAATGTCGGCTGATGTTTTACATTTGTGGCAAAGGTTTGCCAATGTAGCATGCACATAAATGGCAAATAGTGCACATTAGCAGCCAAAGTAAAACATTTTCGACATAAAATGCTGTGGTTGCAAATATTTGTCACATATGTAAGAAATCAGTCAACATTTACACACAATTTTTCACATTGATAAATTGATAAATCACACCATGTCTGCCATGTGACAGCAGGATTTGAACTGATCGAGCATGTGCACATGATCGGGATATGGCCTCCCATCAGATCCTCATCTTTCGGAGTAGCCTGTACAATGATCAGCACCAAAAATCTCGAACTCTTTCAACATTTATACCAGTAAAAAGGAGAGATTTCACTGACAGCAGGATTTAAACCTACATGAGCGACATATAAGTGTGGTTCGAATTCTGGGTGCACGCTAAACATCAAATTGACGCCTAGCAGAGCGTTTAACGTCCACTTGACACTCTGTCACAGATCGCCGTAGACAACGATAGACAAACTAAAACCCCAGTCCCTCAAAGGGTACTCTGGAGTAAAAGACCGGATGGTCTGTATGACGAGCTCATTGACGAGCAAGCTCCTTCAGTCGACACTTATACTCACTGGTGTATGTGGCAGAGTGTTATGAAGCGTTCTCTGCTAGAACGTTCAAAACCATGTATGCTTTCTCACACGTACTAGTCCACAACGTGGACAGAGACTTAGATATAGAATATACCTAACGTCTCCAATAGTCAGGTGGACTATTAGCAGGATTTATAGTGTTGTCAATGCCTAGTAGACGATGTAGCAGTGAGGTCCTCACTCTACCCTTGGTAGGCCTTGGCTGCTACAGCTACTGCATGTTCACCCGCAGGTTACTAGGTTCGCTGTTCTGACTCTAGCAAGCATACAAGCTTACTACCTCTTGAGAGTGAGTATGATTGCATGAGGGTTCTAGAACTGAGAACATTCAGAGTCGCAGATGAAAGAGGTTATCTTCCAGCTGTTGCTCTGCCCCTTTATATAGTCGCAGACCTATAGTCTGAGGTACTAGTACAAGGGGTCTCCTACAGCTATTCATAGAGTAAATGAAATAGACTGAGACAAATACTAACCGCTGCGAGCCAAGTAATTGGTGAGCTATTTGTCAGTATAATATGAAATAGAAACCTGAAACACGAAGGTCTTCTTTGCATGATCTGAGTGAGTAAATCGTGAAAACGAAAAACTGCTAACCCTGGAATATATCCACAAGACCTATGAACCATAAATAGCAAGTGTCACATGCAACGTAAACTGTCACGTGACCATGAAGCGCTGAAACCGTAACATGGAGCTGGGTGACGAGCAAGGCTATAATGTGTGAATAGATGTATTAGGCTTGTTAGGCCTGTAGTAGCTGTCGTGGTGGACGAAGGAAAATAAGACTGAGGTCTGTCTCTCGTCCACCCTGGTCTTTATATATATGTGAGGAGTGCTACTGTATAGTACTTACATAAGTACCTTCCACGATGCATACTGGCTAGCACTACCATCGTACGATGTGTCCCTAATAATATGATTGGTGCCTATGAATAGTGCAGCATGACGGAGCTCTGGGTGGCGCTATCTGAGTCATTCAGTGTGGATGACCGAAGCTAAGATAAGCTGACTGAGTGACTTAGTCAGGGCCAGTGCCGGGGCCGATGGCGGATGGCTGAGTCACGTGATGTTGTAATATATATGGTAAGGTCGATGGCCGACCTGTCACGTGACATGTAAGATGAAATGAACTGATAAGTGTAAATTAAGTATACCTATGTTCCATATAGGTTGTCTGGCGAAACCGTGACAGTACCCCCTTCTTATGATTCATCGTCCCGATGAACCAAATTCTTTTGTCCCTCATGTTCCCTTGTTTGAGTCATTCTTCTGAATCGTAGCTTCTATTGAGATCGCTGGTTCGAAGAATTCACAGATGAGTTGCATGACTCTGTCTCCTTCCTTGACTTCGAATGGCTCTGAAGTGTTATTACATAGTATGATTTTCACTTTGCCTTCGTAGTCTGGGTCGATTACCCCACCAGCTACATTAATGCCTTTCAGCGCTAAGCCGCTATGGCTGGCAATGCGTCCATAGGTTCTGACTGGTGGTGTCATTGCAAGCCCTGTCATTATGAGCGTGCGTTTACAAGGTTGGATGACTGTGGTCATTGTAGAATATAAATCTCAACTGGCTGACTCATCAGAGCCCTTTGTTGGCCACCTGGCATTCTTGGCTAGGGGTTCGAAAAATAGGAAGGTATTTGGGTGATCACTTAGGCGGATGTTGTGCCCTTTTTGCATGCACATTGCTTTGTGAGGGGCATCAGGGTGTGTCTTGTGGAATTCTTCGATCATGTCTTTGACTTTGTCAAGATTTCCTGCTGGTTCCCAAGTATTGTTCTCTGGGCCATAGTCTAGCCACTTGACTAAATACTGGAGTTTGCCATATTTGATTCTAGAGTCCAGGATTGTTTCGACATCCCATTCCTTTTCTCCATCTATGATGACTGGTGGGTTAATAGGTGGGGTCCTTCCTGGTACTGAATCTTCATGGAACATGATTAACATAGAGGCATGAAAGATCGGGTGAATATTCATAGTTGTCAGCAGTTGTAGTTTGAATGAAGTGGAACCTATAGAGTCAAGAATCTTGTACGGCCCATAGTTCTGTGTCGCCAGCTTCTTGCTCTTGGTTCTGACTTGTAAGTCGGCTTCTCTCAACATTACAAGGTCATCCTTTTTGAGGGGATTTTTTTTTTGAGGTCAAAGTACCACTTCATGCGCTCTGCCACCATAATTAATGAAGATCTGGCCTGGTCTTTTGCTTCTTCGCGATCTCTGAACAGTTCTTCTAGTGATGGGTGTGAGATATCCCTTAGTACATTGTTGGATGTTCGAGGGTGTCATCTGTATTCAATAAAGAATGGTGACAACATCGTTGCTTCAGATGACTGGTTGTTGTATGCAAACTCAGCAGTGGATAACAGATGCGCCCAATCTTTCTGCCTGTGGTTGCAATACATTCATAGATATTGTTCCAGTATCTGGTTTGTTTGTCCTGTCTGTCCATCTGTTTCTGGGTGATATGCCGTAGACATTGTGGAGTGTATATGTAACAGTTTGCAAAACTCTTGGAAGAGCTTGGCTGAGAACTGAGTTCCTCTGTCAGATATTATTTGGTCCAGCATTCCATGTTGTTTGAATACTTTATTATAGAAGATTGACGCTACTTGTGTTGCAGTTACTGTATCATCAACTGGGTAAAAGTGTGCTCGCTTTGTGAAGCGGTCCACTACTACAAGTATTACTGTCTTCTTTTTTCCTCGCTCATCAGGGGGATGATGGTAATTGGGTAATGAGATCACATGTTACGATCTGCCATGGTCCCCCTGGTACTGGGTTGGGTTGTAGAAGTCAGTACAGCTTTTGTCGAGATTTTTTATTTCTCTGACAGGTTATATAGCCTTGTACATATTTCTTGACTTCTATGTTCATTCCCGGCCACCAATAGTTCCTTATTAGGAGTTTTAACATCTTTGATCTGCCTGAGTGTCCAGCGAGCAAGATATCGTGGTGGAGCCTGATAAGTTCTGTTCGCAATGTGGGGAGTTTGGGTACATAGACCTTTCCTCTTTGAAGTAGTAGTCCTTATTCGAAGTTCCACTCTTGGAGGTCCTTTCCGAACTCTCTCTTTCCCGATTTGAGTAAGGATCGGTATTCCTTGGTCATTTCATCATTTTCTAATGCGTGTTTGATCTTGTCTATGAGTTTTGCATCATCAAACTCTGAGCCGTGAGTGGCTGAAATGGTGTGTATAGCGAAAAACTCAGGTCGCAGCATGGTTTGCCCAAAATTGTTTTCGCTCACCCCCTTCTCATGATCTGGCCTTCTGAACAGAGAATCTGCATGTAACATCATCTTGCCTGGTCGATGACGTAGTATGAAATTGAATCGTGTTAGGTAAAGGGACCAGCGCGCTTGTCATCTGGTCAGTCGTTGTGCTTGTCTGAAATAGGTAAGATTTAGGTGATCTGACCATATCTCAACAGGCTCCGGGTGTCCTTCAAGATAGTGTCTGTATTCTTCTAATGCACGAATGATTGTGAGCATTTCCTTATCGTATATCTCATAATTCCTCTCATGTTCATTGAGGGATTTAGAGTAGTACGTGACAGGATGCCATAGTCCATCTTCTCCAAGTTGTTCGAGCACTGCTCCTGTAGCGAAGTCAGATGAATCTGTTTCCAGCCTGTAAGAGCGGACATCATTTGGCATGGCCAGTATTGGGGCATTAGTGAACACCTTTTGGAGGGCTTCAAAGGCTGTTTGTTGAGGTTCTTTCCATTTTCAAGCTTGATCTTTGCATGTTAGAAGGGTTAAAGGTCTGACGAGTTTGCCAAAGTCCTTTATGAACCTTCTGTAGAAATTCGCTAATCCTAGGAAAGCCTGCAATTGTTTGACTTTCGTTGGAATTGGCCAGTTTAGAATGCCTTCCACCTTCTTTAGATTCATTTGTATGGAGTTCTTCGAGATTATGAGTCCTAAAAATTCCATAGACTCTCCAGCAAAAACACATTTCTCTGATTTAATGAACAAGTCATTATCTCGAAGTCTCTTTAGAACC